GAGAGAAATAAGGGGGGGTGAGAAAGAAATAAGGGGGGTGAGAGAGAAATAAGGGGGGGTGAGAAAGAGAAATAAGGGGGTGGGTGAGAAAGAAAGGAGGGGGGGGAGAAAGAGAAATTGGGAGGAGGAGAAGGAAATTGGAGCGGGAGGAGAGATTGACATTCATCACATACACACAATGCACCCCTTGCACACAGAAAAACACACAATGCATTACACACACAGACACACATACACAAGCAATGCAACCGTTACACACAATGCATCCCTTACACACACAGAAACACACAATGCATTCATTACACACACTAAATGCACCCCTTACACACATTCAATGCATCCCATACATACACAGAAACACACCTTGCAGCCCTTACACATACAAACACAATTTCACACAATGCATTCCTTACACACATATCAGGACATCCCCTACACACTCCACCCCCTGTGAACAAACTCATTGGTGGAACATGAAGGTGGACCCTGGGACCCAGACCTTGAGCTGTGTAAAGGACCCCCAAAAAATGGAGCTGCTTCCCGTTCTCCCAGAACATTGATTTTTGTGACCACAGTTACAAACCGCCTCCAGAGAGCCTGTTCTGCACCAGACCAGTGGAGCCAGACTGCAGCTAGAGCCCATCATCATCCTCATCTGGTTGTAAGTAGGCAATCTAGTATATTATTCGTGGCACTAAGCTCTAATTTACCTCACATTAAAGAAACACTATAGTCCCCAGAACCACTTCAGCTTAATGTAGTGGTTCTGGTGTCTATAGCCTGTCCCTGCAGGCCTTTTAATGTAAACACGGCGGCACTGCAGCACTGGCGTTAGTTAACATGGCAAATCATATGGCTGGGGCATTGTGATGTCACATGGGGGGCGGCAAACTTTACTTTTGCCTAGGGCGGCAAAAATCCTTGTACCGGCCCTGGCTGGAGGGGGCTGTGTGAGCTGTGGCCGCACAGTGTCCCATGGTAGTTAGGGTGCCGTGCGGCCAGTACAGCTCACTCAAGCAAACAGCTGATAAACTGGCCGCACGGAGGAAATGTGTATGTGTGACTGTCTGCCTGTAACTGAGTGTGTGACTGTCTGTCTGTAACTGAGTGTGTGACTGTCTGCCTGTAAATGTGTGTGTGGGTCTGCAGGGATTTTGTATTGGGACAGGAGTCTTTATAAGGGGGGATAAGCAGGGGATTTGTGGAAGGGGGTTGCGGGGGTTTTGTAGATGGGGCAGTACAGGATTTGTAGAAGGGGCAGGACAGGACAAGGGTTTTGTAGGAGGGGCTGACAGCGGTTTTGCAAAGTTTACAAATTGTAAAAATAAAAGAAATAAAACCTTTAACATTTTTTACAGGTTTTTTTTTTTTTTTTTTTTGGGGGGGGTGCCAAGCACAGGATCCGCCCCGGGTGCCAAATGCTCTAGGTACGCCCCTGTCACATTGTATTACTTTACAGAGATTTGTGTCATCTGCAAACAATGACTTTCTATGCTTTTTTCAAGATCATTTATAAACATGTTAACTAGAAGGGGTTCCAGAACAGAACCCTGAAGGACACCACTTGCCACCTCTGTCCAGCTTGAAAATTTACCATTAAGTGTGTACAAGAGAAGAAATGGGGAGCACAGATGGAGTGGAATATTATAGGATTAAGTGTGAGTGAGGTGAGGAGCTAGACTCTGGAGTAGTGCTGCCATAGCCACTTTTTTGTAGATTGTATTTTTTATATTTGTATTAAGAAGGTCTGAGGGGTCTTACAATCATACATCTGGTAAAATAATTTTTATTTATTTTTACCTTTGGGGGAGAACGTGTGTTATATTTTGACATATATTTTCTGTAGTGCTGCCATAGCCATGAAACAGAACTCAACTTAACATTCCAAGCCCCATAACCACTACAGTCCACTGTGGTTCTTAAGGGGGCAGGAGTGCCCTGGCTCTAAGAAACCATTTTAGTTTGGCTTGACAATGTACTTGGGTCTCACTAGGCACTCGAGAAACATCTAGTCTTTTCCTGAAGCATAAGGCATATTTCTCTATAGAATAAAGCATGGATGATCAAGGCCACACTCATTGGCTAAGAGCACTCAGATGACTGTACAGTAATGGTTATAGTGCTGCCTCCAGTAGCCCTTACATTACTCTGACCAGGAACTAGCATGACCTTCCTGACAGTCACAGAATATAGCATGCCTGAGCAGTGGAGCGCTGCAGAGGAGCTTCTCCATCCTCTACCTTGTCTGACAGGAAGTGCTCAGTGAAAGCAACTAACAGCTTCCTGTCAGACCGAGGAGAGGGAACCTCCAGCCAAGACTGCGGCTCGGCCATGCTACACAGGAGGAGAGAGATGAGCTGGCACAGGTGGGAGGAGAGGCACATAGACAGCTAAAAGAGTAAAAGGGAGAGTATGTCATTTAAACTGTACTAGGTTATCTGAAGCAAGATTAATGCACTCCAACATATGTTGTACTGTGTGGTATGGAGAGGCATACAGAGGGCTGGGAGGAGTGGCATACAGAGAGCTGGGGGTCAGAGAGAGGGCTCCGGGAAGAGATGCACACAGAGGACTGGGGTGTTGGAGAGGCACAAAGAGGACTGGGGGAATTGGCACGCAGAAGGGTGAGAGGGGGTGGCATCCGGAGGGTTGGGGGGAAAAAGGCATTCAGAGGGCTGGGGTAAAGAGGTTGCTGAGGGTGTGAGTTGGACAAAGAGACACACAGAAGGGCTGGGATGACGACAAAGAGATACACAAAGGTGCAGGGGGAGAAAAAGACCCACAAATATGCTGGAGGGGAGAGACATACAGAGGGTCTGGGGAGAGAAGAGCAACTGAAAAAGGGTCTGGGGAGAAAAGAGCAACAGAAAAAGGGTCTGGGAAGAGAAAAACAAAGGGGCTGTGGGAAAGAGAAACACAGAAGGGTTGGGTGGGAGAAAGACAACCAGATGGGCTAAGGAATACACAGTGGGGCTGGGGGAGAAGAGAGAAACACAAAGGGGTTAGAGGGGAGAGACACACAGAGGGGAAGGGAGGCACAGAAGGGCTGGGAAACAACATGACACAGAGGGGCTGTGGTGGACAAAGTGACACACAGAGGGATAGGTTGTGACAAAGAGATAGGTTGGGACAAAGAGACACACAGAAGTGCTGGGGGACAAAGAGACACACAGAAGTGCTGGGGGACAAAGAGACACACACAGGGATGGGGGGCAAAGAGACACACAGAGAGGATGGGGAGGACAAAGATACACAATGGGGCTGTGGGGAGAAAGTAGACACACAAAAGGGCTGGAAAGAAAAAGAGACACACAAAAGGGCTGGGTGAATAGATACACAAAGGGGCTGGTGGGAGAAAGAGACGCAGAAAATTGCTTGGGGGGGAGAGACACACAGATGGGCTGAGGAAGAGGGTAAGGAGACACACAAAGAAGTTGGAGAGAAAAAAGATAAACAGATGGGCTAAAGAGATACACAGAGGGGCTGGGGAGAAGAAAGAAATACAAAGGAGCTTGGAGGGAGACAAACAGAGGGCTGGGGAAGGAGGCACAGAAGGGCTGGGAAGCCATAGAGACACACATAGGTTCTGGGGGGACAAAGAGACACACAAAGGGGCTGGGGGAAAAAGACAAACATAGGGGCTGAGGGGAGAGAAAGAGACCCACTAAGGTGCTGGGGGTAGGAGACACACAGATGGGCTTGGGGAAGGGATAAAGAGACACACAAAGGAGATGGGGGAGAATGAGATCCACAAAGTTGCCATTTTTGGGGGGAGGGGATTAGCTGGTTTTGCCCAGGGTGCACCAGCCCTGATTCTGACCCTGAATAAAAGATGGGTAGTATGAGTCTGGAGGAGAAAAACTT